TTTCCTTCTTTTTTGGCTTTATGTTCTTATATCTCACATTGTTTTTTAACCCTCCTTTTAATGGTTCGAACTCGACTTACACCGAGCTACCATCTATTCGAGATTTATCTCAAGATACCAGCATAAATTTGGTATTAATGCGTGTTCTATAGTTTCAACATAATATGAGTCTTCGAAAGATACACGAGGAGAAATGTGTGTTAGCATAAACTACAGAAATGATTATAATGAAGTTCCATTAAAAACAGATAAAAGAAACACTAGATGCACTAACATTGAAGCAAGAACAGGAATTTAAGCGACAAAGAGGCAACCAAAGGCTTCTATAGATACAACTTTTCAACCAGATTGTCCCTCCTACAACAGCCACAAACCTTCTAAATTCACTCCAAGAAAGTTTCCATCACATCATGATACATCCCGGGTTCTGAATTCCGGTACTCCATAGCTTGATGCTGATGATGTTCAACCGAGGTTGAAGATGATGACGATGTCATCCTTGCAGGCAATGTAAAGCTCCTCTTGAACTTGTTTTCCATATTCTTCCTCACATTCTCTGGATGAGTACTGTCAAGGCTCAAGAATTCATTTGGGTTTGCTCCATTGTCTGAATTTTGATTAGGGTCTAAGGGATGGTGACTTTGATCTTGCTTGTTTCCTAAGCTCTCCGGGTTAAACAGCAGCTTCGCATCATCAGTCCTGCTGGTAAGAGCATTGAAGAAAGACAATCCATTTGGCCATTTGATGTCGTTTTCGTGCTCGCCCATCATGTCCTCCATCCGGGTTTCGGATCCGTGAGGGAGAAGAAACATGTGAGTCTCATCTTTCCCTTGTGAGAATCCAAGTCTAGCAGCCGGGTTTTGAAAATTGGGTGAGGATAACATTGAAGTCATGCCTGGAAGTGGCCTTTGACCCCAGTTAAAGAGTGGAGGAGGCGGCCGGATTGGCATACCAGATTGCTTTGAAGGAATCGAGGACGACGACGAAGTGTTCCTGGTTGAAGAAAAGAGCTGGGATAGATAAAACCCAGATTGGTAACCAAGGGACTCAAACGTATGCCTCATTCTTAGCACAAAGTGAAGGTCTTCAGGTATCTGGAAAATGCAAATAGTGCATCTAACTGTTCAATTCACTGATAAAAATTCTAAACCAAACCACACAAAAAAAAAAAAAGAAAAAAGTCCAAACCCAAACACAGGATTCACTAATAACAAGAACAAAATTACAACAGTAACTCACAATCTTGCAGGAACCCAGCTGTAAAAGGCCATGTCCAGCTTGAATGACAGCAATGGTCTGGTAAACGGATAGAACATTGTTTAAGAACAAGAAAGAAGGAATGACTTGAAGATTAACAAGAATGTTCAGTAAGAAGAAAGTAATACGGTGCTAACCTGAATGCCCGATTCAAATTGATCAGTCCATTCAGGAGGAAGCTGCAATTAGTACCAACAAAAAATTATAAGTAAAAGTTACAGCCAATAATTATAAGGTTATACCATCTACCAAATAGTAATGCATA